GACCCAATCTAATTTTTAGCAATTTGAACTCAACTCATTCGAATCAAAGTAAATTAAGATGGGTCATAACTCAATCTAATTTCTATTTCAGTCCATTTTAATATTTTTAATTTCAATTTAACCCATTCATTTAACACCCGTGGACAATGGAGCAAGCTAATGGTAGTAGAGGTGTTGAGATGTAATGAAAATGATGAGGAATTAACCGTTGCTATTTATTGAGCATAATTGACCTGCAAGGCCAAATTGTCGTTTTATTCAATTGTGTGTCCTAACTATTACTGAGATCGAGATAGGTGAAACATTAGAAATGAGGGTTCAATTAATACCTCTGTAGACAAAAAAAAAATGTGTTGGTAATTTCTTTTGAATTTTGATTTGTCTAAGCCTTAGTGGTTGAGTTATTGTTTACGTTTATTGAGTGAGATAGTAGGTATTTGATGAAATAGTTATAATATATATGTAAATTAATTTAATGTGTAACTTTATAGAATACTTGTGTTGATGAAGATAGCAAATGTCCAGTAAAATAATTAAAATTTATATAAATTGATTAGTGACCAAAGTTTATCTAATACCTATCGAAGATAATAGGTACATGAAATAATTTGAGTAAAAACTTACATACAACACACAATATTTATATTAAGCCTAATCGAGTTATTAATGATTAAATAATTTAATAAGGTAAGAATATAAATAAATAGATTAATTATAGTTAGGTGAGTTTTATATATATATATAGAAACAGGTATATCAATTAATTAGTGTAAATATCAAATACCGTGTGTACCTAATTAAGGTGCACACAAACTAATTTATAGTGACCAAACTTCTTCTTTCTTTTTTTTTCACTCATTGTCCGGGTATCCAAATAGTCATATTAAGGTCCTGATTAAATTTAGAATTCGCATATTGCAAAATCTATTTTTGGGGATAACAGTTTCAATAAGATTTTTTCTATTTCTAAAAATTCAAACTTAAAATCTCTAATTAAAGATGATGAAATCGCAAATCATTCCACCACAATGATGTTACCACCAAATTTATATGATTCGTGGGATTATTAAGGTACCACTGATCCATTATTTAAAAAGAGGTTGTTTTATTAATCGAAAGTCTTACATTTGTGGTGGTGTCATTTTCCTATAATCTATCGATCAAATCACAAACAAATTCGGAAGAGAACAACTTTTGCACGCTAAGGTTATCATATGGAATCCTCTACAAATTTACAATACTAATATTGTGTGTAACAACCCAATCTGCTAATTTATAAGACATATTTATTTATATATTAATATTTTATCGATGTGAGACTTCTTATTCCAGAGTAAGTGTGATGTCACTCTACCCTCGCTCCAAAATGCCAAAGTATTTACTGCATATATATCTTTTTCCTCCAACAAATTAAATTTATCTTCTTGTACCAATATTGTTTTTTGAGCAATAAGATGTCAACTTCAAATTTCAACGAATGCCAAAAAATTATGCAATAATCCATTTTAGGTAACCGTAGTCCGTAGTATGATTCAATTTAAAATAAGTTTTACTTGGAGAATTACATTTATTAGATGGAACGCATTACGCATGCATTGTTAATTGATTTCTTCTATTATACTCCTTCGTTTTTCATTTCCTAGTCAAGTATTTTCTAATTTGATTTCTATTTTTACTTGTCATTTTTGACAAATCAAGGAAAAATAATTTTTTTTTCTTATTATATCTTCAATTATTAACATTGAGTTAATGTTTTTGAAAAATATTGTGGGTAAACATATTTAAAAAATATAGTGGGTAAACTCAGTACACCATTCACTTATTTTCTTAATAGATATGTCAATCAAAATTTAACAAGTGTAAGGGATGGAGAGAGAATGTAATGTGGATTTATAAAACACAACAAAAGAAGACAAAACTCAGCAATAATAACTACAATTTAACCTCTCTAAATTAATATAGGCGGGACCATGAAATATTATTATTTTATAGAGGTATTATTTAATCGATAAATTAATATTTATTAATTTAAAGAATGTTCGACACCAAAAAAATTGTTCAGGGATGGATCTCAAAAAAATTGAAAGAACCCAGTTGTGAAAACGTCATTCATGAATTTGAAGGTCATGATTAATGATCTCATTTACCGCAATAAAATGGATGTTAATAACCTATTGGATGAGTGAAAATGATACATGTTCAGAGGTCCAGAGCTTAGAACAAATTGTGGATATCATTGGAAATATAAGGTTGATGATAAAGTTGAAGATAATACAATACCTTTGGAACCAATTACGCGTAAGAAAACACTTGCACCTAGAACTCTTCACAATTTTATGGTGCAATTAGAAAAAAAAACATCGAAACTTTTGGATGCAATAAGAAAAGTTAGAGATGAGCTTCAACTATATTTAAATTTTAACAAAAAATAGAACATAAAAGAATCATATTCCACTAAATTTTCTTAGATATATTTATACTTTTAAAGAATTATTAATTTATAATATTAATGGGACCATATATTTATATAGGGGTCTTATGAAAATATATTATCTTAGTATCTTATCGAAATGAGTGATTTTTTTCCATTGGCCCAAGTCGGGAATAGAAAAAAATATTATCTTAAAGAAATTATTAATTAACCGAGTATTAATTTAGTGAGGTTTTACTGTACTTGGCCCTTCCATTTTTAGTTTTGAGGATTTTACACGGAATACAATTTTTTAAAAGTAAAATATAGAGTAATTATTTTAAAAAATTGCATAAATATAGTTTATTTCAACTTTTAAATTTTAATTATTTAAAGTTTAAGACTTAGAGTTAGTTTTTAGGATTACAAAAGTTAAGTTAGTAAATTACTAGGATTAAAAAAAAAAACTTCTCTCTTCTTGTTTTTTTTTTCCTCTGCAGTATTTATTGTTCAATTATTTTTTAATAATAAATTATAAATTTAATGGTTCGTCGTTTAATGAGCAACCTAAAAAAGAGAGGTTATAATTTGTTTCGGCAGGATCCTTAAAAAGGCCAAAAATTTATTTTATTATACTATTTCAAAAGAATAATTTAATTTGACTTGACACATGGTTTGAGAAAATAAAAATAGATTTTTCAATTTTATTATTTTAAATTAAAGTTATATCAAATATATTAAAATATTCTTTAATCCTGTGACTTTAAACTTGTTACGTGAAAAATTGAAATTAAAGTGTTGTTAAAAAAAAGGAGTCATATTTTAAAGACAAACTAAGAACAAAAATAATTTATTTTTTAATATGAAGAGGATAATTGTTTAGAATTTTAAGATAAAATTAATTATCATTTTTTTATTGCGAAAAGGCTCAATATGTTATCAAACTTTGAGAAAGACTCATTTATATCGTCCGTTAAAAGTTTGGGTTATTCGGTCCTAGCTATTTGAGAAAAGGCTCATCTATACCGTTATTTCTTAAATCCTATTTTGCAAAATCATTTTAACCTCAATAAGACCCTAAACAATTTTTAACACTTTTCAATTAGGGTTTTGGATCAAATGTAGTCCTTTTGCTTCTTCCTCAAGAACACTAAATTTTCAATTACGATTTTGCAAAATCATTTTTTACACATGGTCTATTATAATTCGGCTACGTCATTAATATATTTTATTTTTAAAATAAGCCAAAATTCTAAAATCATTTGTGGAGTTTCAAAAATTCACTTGTATTAAAAGAATGAAAAACAGTCCCAAAAATTGGAAAATCTGCTTTGATTCATGTTTTTGACACTAGATCTTTGTTCCCTAGTGTTTTGTGAGTCTATGTTCAAATTTTCAAGTGATTTGGAGTGTAGAGAAAATTATACCATTAAAGGATGTTGGAAGTTTTGAAACTTTGAAGAAATTTCAAGTAGGTCTTGTTGAGTTAGGTTGAATTCGAGCTCAAAAGATATTGAATTTTAATATCTAGGTCGGATGAAAGCTACTCCTGAAATTTGAGGTAATTTCGTGATAAATTGAAGAAGTTGAAAATTTGAGAGTTTTTGATATTCTTCTTGTGTTCTTGGTGTACTTGAGAAAAAGATTTAAAAAATAGTACATTTCATCCAAAACCCAAATTGAAAAATGTTAGTAGTTGTTTGAGGTGGTGAAATTTTATTTTATTTTTTGCAAAAATAAAGTTAAAAAGAATACTCCATTCGTTTAAAAAAGAATAACCTAGTTTATTTTTTAGTCTGTTTCAAAAGGAATGTCTCCTTTCCTTTTTTGGTAACACTTTAACTTCAACTTTCCACGTGGCATGTTTAAGGCCACAAGATTAAAAGACATTTTAGTAAATTTGACATAACTTTAATTTAAAACCACAAGATTAAAAAGTCTTCTTTCTTTTTATAAACTCTGTTTCAAGTCAAACTAGGTCATTCTTTTTTAAACGGATGGAATAACATGAATGAGTTTTTTTCTCAAAAAACAATGACATAAATAAGTCAAACTTTTAACAGAATACATAAATAATTTTTTTTCTCAAAATAATGGCATATTTGAGATTTTCCCGTCTTTATTTACTCATTCTAGTTCTGAATGACAATAAATATAGAAATATTTAATGACTAGACATAAATATAGATAAAATTATCAAAAACCAATTCTAATTGAAAAAAAATTCTTAACGTAAGTAAAAGGAAAAATTACTTATATACAACTTATTTTACATATTTGAAAAAATTACAAAAATCCTCACTCTCTCCTTTTTTCGGATACATCACTCTTACATTTATCGAGACGTGATATATCGATGTATCAGAGCGTTAAGCGGTATATCGGGACAGATGTGCTTGTATCGAAGCATTAATTGATATTATACGAAATTCTCAAACTTTAAGAAATTTTTGGAATTGGGAAAACAATAGAAATTTAATGGAATTAACTTTTTAACACTGAAATTTACTTAATTTTCACTAAATGATAAAAATAGTATACGATGGAAAAAGTAATAACTACACTATTACTTAAAAAGTTAAAGCAAGTATACATTAATTTACAAAACAAAGTCACAACATAAAACTTAAATATATAGTATTAAACTTGAAGTTTAAAAAAGAGGAGAACAATTACAACTATTACAAATATTTAACCTTTAGTGAGCTTCTTTCTTGTTTTCCATAAGAGGAAGAAACCTTCATATTTATCCTCTCTCTTGTTTTAGCTTCTAGACAAACAAATTTGTAACTTCACGAACCTCAACTCAACTTGGGACCACATTCTTCAACCCTGACAAAAACACATAACCGTTTAATAATGCTTAATTTTTTCTCTAAATAATCTTTTGTAATTTTATTCGAATTAATTTGAGATAACTATTTTTAAATTCTAAGAGTAGTTAATATGAAACACAACAAATTAATTTACCTATTATTTGTGTGGCATATAATTTCGTGAAGGAGAAGAAAACAATTGGAATTTGAACTGTTTAGGTAAGGCAATTCCGTCCCTGAATTTGAGCACCGGCGTTTGAATTGCCTGAGAATTCGCCGCACCTCCGGCACGGACCAGTTTGGAGAATCTGACGGCAAGTTGGGCATGAAGAGTGTGAACCAAGCCACGTGTCAATACAGCGAACATGAAAACCATGGCCACACTGAGGCAAAACTTTAATCTCATCTCCTCTAATGTACTCCGCCAGACATATGGCGCACTCCGCCGCAGCTTCAGTACTTGAAGTAGCTGGGTCAAACTTGAACTTCGGCAGCGAGTGCAAAACTTTCTTCTTCAATCCTTTGTTCGCCGCCGCTGCCGACTGACCTCCGGTAGCTCCTCCGGTGCGTCGGAGCCAAGCGCATCGAGCTACTGAGATAAGTCCGATTATACATATAAGTGCACAGAGAAGGGCTGCTATGATAATGACATAGTCGGGCTCCACCGGCGCAAATGACGACGGAGGATCCGCCGGGGTGTATTTGGCCGGCGGTGGGGAAGATGAGGTGGTGCTTAGCAGAAATCTAAGTAGAGGAGGCGGCATCATTAATGATAAAGAGGAATTAAAGTATTTTAGCGGAGAGATAGATATAATTAATAGAGGAAGTTGAAAGGTCGGTTATATATGGAAATGAAATATTGAAAATATATATTTGTTTAGCAGTGAGTGAATGAATGTATGTATAGTTGTTATGGAGCGCTAAGTATTTAGGATAGCTTTATTTTAATATTGGTGCGGTAAATATTAGTTTAGCCGTGAGTGAATTTGAATGTAGTCGGGCATTATCTTTAATGTTGAACCTTTTCAATGTAAATTTAAATTTAATCAGATTTTAATGTAAATATCATATATTGGGTGAAAGAAAATAAAAGAAAAAATTACATAAATGAGCCATAAAATTTAAAATAATTACATGTTCATATCCCAATCAAAGTTATTCAAAAAATATACTAATTCTTTCAAAAAATTACCGCTCATATCCTCATTCATTAAGGTTGATAATTTTCGCTTAAGTGATACTAAGTTAGTATCATATATTGTATTGGTTTAATCAATCAGTGTGTATATATATATATATATATATATAGAGAGAGAGAGAGAGAGAGAGTATCATTAAGATTTCTTGTTAAAAAATTATTCATTAGTCAATGATACTATTATATATATATATATTTATAGTATCATTGACTAATGAGTAATTTCTGAACAAGAAATTTTAATAATATCAATACAGTATATGATACTGATTTAGTATCAGTTAAACGAAATTAGTTAGAAGTATATAATGTAATTATTTAGTGTGATGTGAATAAAAAGGTACTCCTATATTTGTAACTATTTTACTTTTATAAGATATTTGCTTAGTTTCCCAAAAATGAAAATGGTATAATTGCGCTGAGTGTTGGAACTCGGAAGGTAGTGAGGATGCAATATAATATAGACTAGTGGTGAGATAAATTTTTTATTAAAGTAAAATAAACATAATTTTTAAAAAGGGATTTAATATTTATTTTATATAAATAAAAAATAATTTTAAATATGTATATAAATAATATAATTTTTCATTAAAGGGGATCTGAATAAAGAGAAAACAACACAAAATACATTATTATTGGTATTAGTTATATGTTGAAATAATAGTTTTTCTAATTATATTTTCTTTCATAAAAAAATTGTTTTGGATACATGTATCTCAAATACACATAGATCAAATGGGGTGTAATTTGTTTCAGATATGTTGTATCTAAGCGTGATTCGCATATACCTAGGAAGCATCGACTCTCTTACTCACTTCTCTCACTCACCTTTCTCCCTATGCATCTGTATTTCAGAATGTATTTGAATTTTTCAAATTATATGTATTTATGTATTCAACATTGATTTCATCGATATGTGTAACCAAAATTATTTTATCTCGTGTATTCGATATCAAATTTTATCAGTGTATCTGATATCATATATTTTGTATACCCGTACATATATACATGTATATGGTATTAAAATGTGATACACATCACGAGCAAAAGAGGACAAGGCATAAAAAAAAAAAGATTATGCAATTATCTTAAAGTATAAAAGAATTTAATAGATATAATAGGGATATTCGTCTAATTATGCAATTTTCTTTTGAATAAACTTTTTAGCCATATTTAACTCCACCTTGATTAAGACAAGTATATTTCTTTCTCCAACATTTTATTATCGACCTGATTTGGAGTGTCATGATTAAACTAACTACTAACTTTTTAGACAAGAGTGCTACTCTCTCCATCGTTTCAATTTGACTCCGAGAAGCGGAGAAGGTGTAGTTTTTTTTTTTGTTAAAAAAATAACATATTTAATTTTAATTGATTAATTAAATAAAAAAATATTTAATAAAAAATGATAAATAATTATTATATTCTAATGATAACCCGAGAAAAACTTTTTCACGTTGATCGACCAACTCTTTGATCCTTCTTTGCATTTGCAAAGAGTAACTCTTAAACCAAAAAACCAACAACAACAAATTGTATAAAGGATCATAACTTTCTATACAAATTCTTATATTATATTGCATATAAATATGTGAAGTTGGCCAAAGACCTTTGCAATTTTTTTTTATGTTGCATATAATTTCATGAAGTTGAGATTTCATTTGTATATTCAATAAAAAAAAAATTCTTGTATTAAGTTTTATATGATTATTGTTATGATTCAGGAGTTAAAAACTTAATGTGTTTGTGTGTCTTCCCCATTAACAAAATATTTACAATTATCGTAGCTCAAAAGATTGTGTGACAACTGATAAAGAATTTTATGAGCTAAAGAAAGATGGATGAATAGTCAATAACTTGAGAATTGCATAAAAAATGAATAAATGAAATTGTGGATCTTGTAAAAATACAGATCAAGCACTTATTAAAGAACAATTCAAAGATTTTTTAATTTATGTGGTATTGCTTAACTAAAATATTTTTTCCATTTAAATTTATGCGGTATAATTTGATTATATATTGACATACAATTCTTCATTCTTTCTTATATTTCTAAATTTTACTCTGGAAAATAATACTCGGGTTTATGACTATAATTTTTAATGTACAAAGTATTGATAAAATAAGATATTTAACATCAAATTATTTTTATATATATATAATGAAATTTTTTTTTATAATTGAAAAATAATATTATATAAAATTTTAAAAAATTAAAAAGATAATAATTTAAACTCTTTTTCAATGAGGGTTTGGGCCTTTATTCTTGGGAAAGAATTAACTATTGTTAGAAACATTTTCCATATTATTTACTATACTTTTAAATAATCAAAAGTTTAAAATTTAATTAGAACATCAATATATGATATACATTGGTACCAAAAATAAATTATACATAACTTTATTTTAATATTAATTGTAATAATTTTAATTTTAATAAATATTGGACTCGTGTTGGTACGGTCATACTCCCCTAGATTATTCAATTATTATTTGTTTTATTAATTTTTTTAATATTTAATTTTTTTTAATATAGAAGTCACAGTTAGCAGTTGTGTTTCATCAACATGCTTGCTTGTTTGCAATTGCTGAGTTTATCATGAAAAGTAATGACAAAAGAGTCATTCTGTTACTGCATGGAGGGATCCATCTGCATTTGTTTTTTGAGTTTTTCTCTTCAAATACACGTTTGAGAAATATTGTTTGAGGCTTGATTGATTAGAGCAACTAATGTGTGATAATTCAATAATTAAAATGCAAATTTGTTACTTTATTCGTAGATACTGAAAAATTATGGAACTCTGCAAGAAGTGTTTAATTCTAGTTGAGGCTCTATAAAATATATTCAATTTCAAGGGTTCTTGAATGCTACTCTATAAAAGTATTATATTTTCTTGAAAATCGATCTAAAAAGTTCCACCACAAATTCTTAAACTCTTTGGAATATTCATAAAAAAAACAAACTAAATCATCCTAATTTGAAACATACACCACTAATGGCTACCCTTGATTTATGGAGATTAAGTCCAGATCATCCTAGTTCGAGAAATACACCACTAACAACCCTTGAGAAATAGGTCACTAACAGCCTCGAATTATGAAGGTCAAGTCCAAATCATCTTAGTTCGAGAAATATATCACTAATGACCCTTGAACTATGAAAATCATGTCCAAATCATCCTAATTCGAGAAATACGTCATTAATGGCCCTCTCGAATAATGGAGATCAAGTCCAGATCATCCTAGTTTGAGAAATACACCACTAATGACCCCCAAATTATGGAGATCAAGTCAAAATCTTCCCAGTTCGAGAAATACACCAGTTAAGGCCCTCGAAACAAGGAGAAACTTGATGAGAGAATAATCAAAAAAATATTCTTGTTTCTTCATATTTTATTTATTTATGATTAATTTATTTTTCATATATTTTAAATTTGCCATAAACACTATTTATTTATTGACGACTTGCTCCTTAAAAATATTCTTGTATTACCTTATTGCCCCAACTGTACAGTTGCTTTTTTCAAAATTCTATTAATATCATACAAATTGTAATATGAAAAATAATATATATTATCTAAAAATTACGTAAAAACTATTATAAATTACAACAATGGACAACTTCAAATATTTAAAACACATAAACAAATTGGGTTAATTTTTGAACAAATATTTAAAAGACACAAAACAAAGATAGTAGTAATATATACTAACAACTTAAAAATATTTTAAAAATTATATAAAAACCTGAATAACTTTTCAAAGTTCCAAACCTTAAGTTAATTTCTTCAACATCGTAATTAATCTGTGGTACCTTTCCGCTAAATAAAGTTTGATTAGACAAGAGATAGGATTATATTGGGATAATTGTTGCCTAATCAGAATAAAAACAACTTCTAGAAAAGAAGATTATTTTTATAAAATTTTGGAATTATTTATGTAGCCTTAAAAATCAAAACGAAAGGTTATTTTCTTCTATTCAAATTGTAAGTGTAAATACGAGATCATGTGTGATCAACAACTTCATGGCTAAATCTAGATTTGCTTCCTTTTAAAATTTCACAATGGAACAAAACTGTAGGTAGTAATAAGGCAAACAATAGTAGTGGATACAATACATCATGTATATGTTTAATGTATCCCTATGATCAATTGCTAACTATACTTTGTACCACATTCCTCTATAAACACAAGATAAAGAGAAGAAGCAAGCTACTATTCAAATACCATATGTATTTGTTTACCTGCTTCTTTTTCACCTTTTAGGAGCAGGTTTCGCAAACGAAAAGTCGTCTTCATTCCTGGAGGATTCTCCATTTTGAGGAACATGCACTTGAAGTTCAGTATCATCATGATCAGTTGAGTGTTCCTCTGCACGGATTATCGGTGTAGTTGGATCATTCTCGAGGTCAGATGCTTCTAGATCATCGTAGCCATTGAAACGTGTTGAGTGACCGGTTGTTTTAAACCGATGAAGTGTAGGACCAATCGACGGGTGTAGAGGTGAGCCCACAGAGGACCTCGGACTTGCATTGCCTAGTGTCCGTATAGATTTGTCTCCCTTAGCTACCTGCTTCTTCTTCACCGCCATATGCCACTTCTTTAATGCCTTTGAGGTTTGTTCATCAAAAATGGATTTCTTCATGTTGGAGCCCATCTGCATGCATGATCCCATTATTACCATTAGGCCTATTTCCCCTTGTATAATACAGCAAGTTATCGCTAAAACACTAAAAAGTCCATGTATAATATCAAACTGAGATGATCCTAAATGGAGTGACATGAACACTGTGGATTTATATAACCGACCCCAACTTACTTGGGATTGAGGCATAGTAGTTGTTTTTCTTGTACGAAAAAAGTTCATGTAGTTTCCTAAGGCACATTTTTCGTCCTGTGTTTTACTGCAATATATTTGCTTGTATACTAGCAAAGTGCTTGTCCAAAGCAAAATGGTGTGGAAAGAACCTACATACATTTATTCTTTCAATTTGGGGGTGGGAGGGGGGAGAAGAGATAACCACGACACGTGGGAACTTCCAATTAGTATTTGGTAAAAGTACCTGAGTAATAAGGGCATAGAGTGGAAGAGTGATATAGCTGCATACGAATAAAACTCCCACCCTGTAATGAGACAGGGAAATAGATTCAGTAGAGTAATATAATCCACCCAATAAAGTGACTTTCTGTTGCAAGTAACATACCCCAAAGCAATTTTCGCAATGATGAAACCAAACTTGTCATGGAAGCAAGATTTTAGCCCATACTCATACTGCAAAATAAGTAATCAGATCAAGATTTCAGTCAATAGTTTCATGGTTCAAAAAACTGAAATATCTTGGGATGTTTGAAACAAGGGGAAGAAAGATTACCCATATCCATAAGAAATATGTTATTTGGAACGCATTCTGTCAAGTTCAAATGATAGTTTAGCATTAGATACACATAGGGAGAAAACTTTTATAAGCTATGTCTATAAATAGATGGAGACGGGAATTGCAAGAAACAGATAGAGATTCAGACAAAGCAAACTATTATAATCCAAACCCCAGCACCATTCCCCCTCCTTTTCATTTTCCAGCACAATTCCTCAACGTACAATCACCAAGCAGCACACAAGATTCAACAATTACTTTGCAGTGTTAGCCACACATTATCTCGCACAAATCATTCATAGAAACCAGCAAAAGCTAATCACCATCTTTTTATTTCTTGCTTTTGCTTCTTATTCGATTCAAAGGTTGTGATGAGGTTTAAGCCAATCTGAAAGTAAAGGTCTTTAAAGTGAGATCGAATAATCATATTCACATGTACGCTCATCGCTCAGACAACTTCTAGAATACAATTGATTATGGCACTATGGATGAACCAGCAACGCTGAAAGTGAGATATATTCCAGTCATCTAATTTTCTAATACTGGCTTATGACATATATCTGAAAGGGACGTGTAGTACCTGAAATAAGGCAAAATGGATGAGGTGAAGAACCAACTGAGGTCGTCCAAACCAAAAATAGTTGTCTGAACCTTGAACAAGAGGGATTCCCTGGACTACTGCATGTCTCTCCGAGATGTCAAGAGCCATTCTTGTCAACACCGCCTGAAGCTTTGTTCCAACAGCTAAAATGATCTGAGAAAAATTAATCATCAGAATTCCCTGCAATGGAATCAAGAAGGTGGACAAGGCAGATGAAACCTTACAATCAAAGGAATTAAGGATGCCCAGAACAATGCATGCCACCCTGAAATTTAACAAATGTTTCAGAAATATATCAATGTCAAGTGACGAACTTGATTACTGAATGTCAAATGGAAGAAATGAAAGAGTTGCTCAAATATGTTCCCATCGCAGTATATGACTTACCACTAACATTTAGGAGCAAGAAAACAACAAACGATCCCCACAAAACTGGACTGCCAGTAGAAAAAATAAGTCAGTTGACATGATATAAGTTGCACCCGTACACACGTACAGTTCTTGTATGTTAGGAAGATTTGAGATAAAGAAAACAACACATCTCTCTACCTGACACCAACAACTACCTTGAAGTCATCCTCTAATGACCTTTTGATATACTTTTGGAAGTTAAATTTACTTCCAGGAGCCAAATGAACCTGTACGAGAAGCATTATCTATAACTTCTATGGAAAACAGAGAAGAAAGGTATCACCAAAAATAACTAAAAGAACTACTACCTCCGTCCACTTTTAATTTTCATAGTTTCCTTTTTTAGAGTCAAACCATAATAACTTTGACTAACAATTTACAATGTATTTTTTCATCATATTGATATGCAAAAAATAAAAAAATGGAATTTATAGTACTTTTAGTATAATTTTTGAATATCTAAATTTTTTGTTTAAAATATGGAATTAATGTAATCTAATTTAACTTTGAATATTAGTCAAATTGGCTTTCGAAAAGCGCAGCATGACAATTAAAAGTGGACAGAGGAGTACATAGTTTCAGAACCAAGCAGAAAAGGAAACTCACACTGATAAAGCCATTGCGGAGGGTCAAGTAGTCTGACTTATTCACGGACCTGAAAAATTGTCTCAAGAAACATCCCTGGGAGAAAAAGATTGCAACATTCAATGACCTCCACTCTTCTTTTCAATGCTGAAGAACAACACAACTCTTATAGAGAATGAAAATAACAATATCTCATACTTACAATGTAAAAGAAGATTGGAATATTGGTCCAGAAACTAGTATGTGCTCTGACAAATGATGTCTCATGAGTAAGCCTAAATCTTGAAGGATCTAAAAGTTACGTGTAAGAAATAGTCAATTCTCAATGCAATGAAATGAGGACAATGAACATAGTTTACAAGCAAATCAGCAGTTTCCACCATTTGTGCAGCAAACTAAGACATACCATTTGAAAACTCATAGTTATGGGTTGAGGTCTCTAGTTCCCAGCATTTCCAGCCACGAATCTGAAGAACGTACTTTCAAGCATTAGACAGTGTAAAATCTAAATTGGAGAGTAACGAATATCAACAAAGAACAAAACCCTGAACCATGACCAGTCCCCCATGATCGAATCACCAATTCTTTTTATAAAGTTTTTGACCGAGTATCCAGAGTTCCAGCTTTCTGATTATTGTGGAGGGTCAGTTTTCACTCCCAGTAACAAATTTGAGTTTTGGTATCTGGTCAATGATCCTAAAGTTAGGGTCTTTCTTTTTTTTCTTTTGCTGACCAAGAATTCTATCTGGGGCCAATCCTTGGGACCAACTGCAGACTCCAAAATTTGGCAATAATGGGCTCACCCCTCTACTTCTCTCTATTTAAATACTAGGTTTAGTTCGCATGGTGCATGGCTTGAACCTAAAACCTACATCACAAGTGTCCCAACCTTTTTCTTGATACAAACTTTGCCACTTGAACTCAGTCCAGGGGGCGTTCCTAAAGCTATGTTGTAGCTGCAACTATCTTAGGAAAATTAACAATCCAATATCCACCAAATCAACCTTTCCAATCGCCCCAAGACATTTTAAGCATGAAGATAAGGTTCATCAAGAGAGGACATATCTGATTTCTCATCCAAAATAAAAAATGCAAATAAAAAGTATAACAAGTTTACACCACATTTAACTTCAATGAAAAAAGAAAAACTGGCACATTACTTTACCCTGAAAACCCCAGAAATCATCAAGCATGCATGTAAACCAGACACCAAGGATTATTCCATACACTTTCTCAATATTAGTTAATTCATCTATTAAGAGCAAAACAGAAAATGCCACAGAAGTTATTAATTCAGCTATAATGATGCTTATAGCAATGGGGTCAGCCAAGGAAGTCAAAAACATATTCTAGTAAGTAGGAGAGCATAGTGTTGATCAACACTAAAAATGTCTTTAGCCTTCGGTATCGCAGTCTCCACATTATACCAGTCGAGTATTGAACGTTTGTCCAAATTTGCTAGCTCAACTGAATTCTTTGACAGGCTCAAGGTATGGACCAGAGAAACCACCAAAAAATATAGAGCCAAAAACGGGTCCCTGCTGAAGTTTCTCTTGATATTCCAAAAAAGTCACACAAATGGCACAGCAGTTCAAGTATAATGCAGGAACTAATGTAAAGTAGACTTTGAGTTACCTTGAGTTTTCCCAGCCACATAGTGATAGCACTGTATACCACATGAAAGACCGCCAAAAAGAAGATAAGGATGTGTATTTGATGCAGTGCGTCGATAGAAATGAGAGAGACTCGTCCCTGTTAGATTACTCCAATTAGTTTAATGAAGACAGCCCAGCATGCTGTAATTAAGTAAATTCAGAGCAAGCACTAGACAAAGATCCAAACCACAAAGGTAATTAGTAGTTGAGCTAACTGTAACCAAAGTAACACTTATATGGGATGTATTGTCTTTTTTTAAAATGGCATGTTCAATCAGTAGGTAAGAAATTATATTAATAATGGCATAAACCCAGCATTAAGATGGTGCTGGTGCTATTGATAGAATGGAAAATCTCAAAATTACTTCAGGAAACTACTAAAACGTTACGGGATGATGTTTTCTGGTTAACCAATAGCTAACAGGATATTTAAAGGACACAAATTCTCATTCTGGTGGAGATTATAGCTGAACTAGCCTTCCATATTGCTATTGCTATTGCTATAGCAAGTGCTGCTTCACAGTTTCACTTGTCCCTGGTGCTGACACAAGCAGAAAATCTGTGAGACGAGTCTTCTACAGCTTTTGTAAACCACTAAAACTTGAGCGACAACACATGGTTCACACCAAATAAGCCTAGCACTCTCATCATTTTCTATAAATGGTCATCCAATATGTGAATGAAGGATTCTAGGTTATACAAAGAAAATCAAGCTGGCTAAACTTCCACTTAGTTATGGTCTCACAACTTGCTGCTCATTTATTGCACATGTACCGATGTTAATACTCCCATCCCTACTAAATTCCCATGGAGGAACATACTACCAAAGTGTATATAAGTTGGAGCAAGGCAACCATTATCAGGTGGATCTTTTAAATAATTATCCATATTAGGTGTATCCAAAATAAGGATCCTTGTAATTAATGTATGAATTGAACTAGTTATCTTATTTGTAAGCACTCTCCTTTTTTGGAAGAAAAAAAAAAGGTGCTTACTATTTGTTGAAGGCAGAAACTTAATTTCATGCTACAGCCTACAGGCATGCAATAAAAATTACTTTCCATATGCCTAGTTACTGGAATGAGAAGTGTAATTTTATTTGCATCTTCTTCTTCACAGCTCTGATCGTTTATGCAACAAACATCTTTAAAGGTTTATGTATGATAACGGACTGTCTCAGTTTAAAAAACACCAATTAGTATGCCACCTGATTAATTCAAGAAAAGGGTAATTGACTAGAACAAGCAAAACTTCTGCAAAGTCATTTTTTCTATCCGACATATTTATACAATTAAATTTATTATTATGTAGTCCATATACAACTTTATGACTTACATCATCACATTTAGGCTCTGCACCAGCCAAAATCCTGCGCTCATGCCATAAAAGCCTCCGGCGATGTTCCTCCGTTTTATCCTCTTTGTTAACAGCAGGGCAAGGGAGCAGAGTGTTAGCCACACTTGTGGGGATACAGATTCCAGCAATATAATACTGGCTGAACACAAGGGTTAATGAGATAAAACCAAGAACCATCAACTCTGCAACAATTAGAGAGAAGGAGCCATTAATGCATGCAGAAAACTAGAATACTCCTTAGGTAAAATGATAACAAGTTGAGAGCACCAAAATTTACCAGCCTTAACCTTTTCCAAAGCCTCAAATAGAGCTTTCTTATGCCTCTCTGTGAGCCACTGGAAAAAGATTTTCATTTTGTAAGTAAATTGTTAGTGAAATTAAGTTCCACGGCAGCAATAAACTAAGTAAAATCACATGGACCCAAACAATCACCATAAATTGGTAGAACTCATGTAATGTCTGTGTACTTCAAAATGCTCCCAGACAAAGAAAAGGCGAGCCCAAACATCCAAATTAAAGGATGAGGGATGAACTCCAAGTAGATATCCTCAACATAATATATCACCAGGCAATACAGTTTTTGCTGGATGAAAGGGAAGGTTAAGTTCACAAAGCATAACACAGGCAATAAAAAATCCCTTTTTCCTCTAACCTTATTTGTTTATTGATCAAAAAACTCAAACAGAAGCAAAAAAGGCGATTAATGGTAGAAAATAAATACCCGAAAAGGAACAGACTAATGGCATCAATCACATAGCTATAATGTCCAAGAATCCAATTTGAGTAAAGAACTTGGAGGTGCAAAAATCCCTCCAACCAAAAGAAAAGGCACATTTCTTTTGGGGGTAAAGTAACAGAAAAAGAACAAGATAGTAAATTCAAACACTATAAAACACCTCAAAATCCAGAAAAGGATTAGGACTATCAAAACAGGAAGAACAAGAAAAGGATTAGGATTAGCAAAACAAAGGTACAAAACCATAGAGAAAAACAACCTATCTTTGGGTAATCAGTATCTAAGCAGTCAAGAACACTTTCCAGTCTCAAGTAACAAAAAGGTATTGTCTTGACATAAGAATCTAAGAGTCAAACAACAAACATATATATCAGCAAAATCCTCAACACCAAAACCAAGAAACAAGAAAGGCAATTTCTAATTGTAATGCTGCTGGCAAGGAGATAGATCTTTAGGTGAGCAAAATAGAGATAAATTGTAAACTAAAATCCAAGAAATAGAAAAGAAAGAAACCCACATTCAAGAAAAGTACAATTTAAAGAACAGTAAGGTAAAAAGACTAGATATTTAGGTTCCATACAGTGCCAAGTTTATGGATAATCTTCTCCAAAGCAATAGAAATGAGAATAATGACTGCACAAACACCAGCAACTGCCCAAGTAGGTGTCTGATCAAGCTGTCTTGATGTACCATCACCCCCACCAGCCATTGCCACCACCACTCACACAAAATCTTGAACTTTCAGATGCAGAGAAACAAAAGCAAAAAAAAATTCCTAAAAATTAATGGGTATCTAACAATCTGGTCAAGAAAATTGGGTTTGAACACTTAATAAGATGTAGTAAATGCATGCATTTATTTGCACTACTATTTCAAAAGAAGAAAACTGATATTCCCAGTTGCTAGTACATAGATGTATGTAAATTAAATGACTAATGACATTGACAAAGACCTTCCTTAATTAAAATAGACAACTACTTATATTACCCTAATTAGGAACACAAAGCTATTTATATTAATATTAATATATATAGATTTTTCCATTAATAATCTCTTAAAGACAATATTTATGTATTTACTCACATTGGCCAATAGAAGAAGTCAACGGTTAAAGATTAAGGTTGTTTTTGTAACGCTAAATGAGGATTAAGGGAGATGGATAATGGGTTTAAGGTTTTAGGTTTTAGGAGATTTTAAGTAAAATTTGATCCCAAGTAATTTATACTTGTTTTTGAAGTTATAAATGATCTAAACTTATTTCTCTTGTCGTTGACTCAAAAGGGCAAAATTGCACCATACTTTTTAATTAGAAATAAATATATGCTAAAGTCATTTTGAGATTAATTATCACGAGATAAGTAATACTATCACATGTGAAATAAATAATTTTAGGACTGACTAATCTCTTCAACCAAACACATGATAAAATAATCCTGTAATTTGTTCCTACAATTATTATATTTGATACCTCAAATCAAACGACTCAATTTTATTAGTAACATACTAATATATATATATATATATATATATTAAGCTGTGAACAATTATAACAGCGTGACTGGCTGGTGAGATTATGAGGCGATGATCGCGTCAATTTGTCTCATCAAAAAGGAAAATTGAAATGGGAAAAGAACAATCACTTATGACATTTGGCACAAATATAATAATTAAAATATGTTGAGAGTCGATTTTTTTTAATGTATATTTAGATAAGTGGACATTTATAAAATTTGAATTAAATTAATTTAACAATTTTTTTTAATTATAATTAAAAGATAAGTTAGGAAAAAACTTATTAATTTTGATAACAAAAATCTTTATTTTTCACAAATTTTTACTCCTCGTTAATATCATCACATTAATTATATTTTCTGAATTGCTCTAACATATATCATTGTATTTTTCTTCATTAAAATCTTGTAAATTACGTTTGACAGAAAAAATTAAAAATCAAAGTTTTGTTGAGTAAGAAGATAGGTAGCGTTTGTCGAATTCACTTAATTCGTCAGCTAAATTAAGCGTTTCTACTCAAAAACTCTTGTCTTTCTAGAATGGGTCAACTAAATATTACTATGCCATTATTTTTTATTTACTGTCTTTCTAGAAAGGGTCAAATAAATATTACTATCCCATTATTTTTATTACTATATAATAAAATGGTCAAATTTACTCAAATTATGTGAATAGAAAATTTTATAAATAGCTAAGAGTTGAAATATAATGAGCTTTTTTAGTTATAATTTGTCTAATTACGTAGTGTAGCTATAGTTTTAGTAGCTATGTGTTATTCTATTTGTATATCTCATTGCAAATTTATTTATTTTTAATACAAAATAGACTCTTAACTTAATTAATGAAGCGATAATTTAAATTATTAAAATGGAAAATAATCCCACAAATCATAGTTATTGATTTGATAATAATTTCTTACCAAATATGACATCGGCTAAACCAAAAAAATAATAAATTAGCTTCCTAAATAAACATGTCAAAAAATGACATACAAACATCATTAACAGAGATATAGTTGCATCAAACATCACACAATTGATTGAAATATACAAATAAGTAAATGTATACAAATGTTAAAGCTATACAAATAGTTGGAACGTATACTTGTTGATAACATACAAATACAAAAGAATAAATTGTGTATAATTGTTGATGTAGAAATAGGGTCTAAAATGTTTTTTTTTTAAAATAAAAAAAACACAATACACATTGATACGCTAAATCCATAAAATGTATATAACATAATCTGAAATGTATTGATAGAAATACAACTTATGCATAAGTTGTTGCATCTTCACTAGGTCAATGTGGTGCTTGAATCTAATTCTTGTTAATTAATTCAAGATTTAGTAAGAGATCTTGCAATTTCTTGAAAATCTTAAGTTAGACCCAAAGAAAAATATGAAAAATCATCTAAATTTTGGGCATGCATTTGTATACCTCAAGTAATTCTCTTGGAATGAGTTTGTTCATCCATGATTTTGTATGTATCTATGGAGATAACTGAAAACTAAAGAAATCAATGGAATATGCAAAATAAAATAATAATAAAAAATAATAAAAAAAAAAAATCGCCCACAATTTGAGAGGGAAACACAATTTTTGAAACTTAAAATTTAATTGTGCTCGAGTGAATTAAGGAGAAAAATTAATAAAAAATATTAGGATCAGAGATAAAAAGCTACTTTGTATAATTGGGGGAAACAAAAAATATGATAGTATATGCTGGAATTTAGATATACAAATCGAGAAGTGGTCCATAGTAAATCGGATGAAATATTAGAGGCGAGTGATAATTATTTATAACTACAAGTCTATAACTATTGTAAATAAGTAAATAGTATATTTTTACTTAGTTATAATTTTATTTTATTTTTTTGGTAACCAACAAGATTATATTAATCACCAAAGTGTAACCATTACATATCCAATAGCAAAGTCATACCCAATTTGCTATTCTAAAAAAAACAGAGACAACTAGAACAAAGAAAAACTAAGCTAGCAATCTAAAATGCAAACTGATGAATGGCTTGCATAGTTTTCTGGCTGGCCCTAACACAACAAATATAGTTACATAATTTTTCTTTATGTGAAATATAATAAATTTATTTTTATTAATAATTGGAGTCAAATATAACCTTATCATTATTAAAATAAAATTTTGAATTGTAAAAGCTTGCTATCGATGCCATATTATTTAATTAAAGATTAATGAGAGACAAGTTTCAAATTTTTGCACGATTGATAAACAAATTTAACCTTTCTTTCTGAGTTTGAGTTTTTTAATTATTCTTTTCATTTATTTTTACTGGTTTACTATTTTAAAAATAGATTTTCATTTTTATTTGTCACTTTTAGCATATCAAGAATAAACAATCATTTTTTTCCATGTATTTTCACTTTGCATTAATTACTTATTTTTTAAATTATTTTTCCGTATCTAATATTAAACGTCGATTAATAAAAATATTATGATAAAATAATTATAATAATTATTATTTTTAGTGTGTCTGTTAAATTAAAATATGATAAATAAAAATGAACGATGAGAGTAATTGGAGGAAAAAGTTTTAAATTAATCGGAGGTGTTGTAAACGCAAAGAAGGCTCAACAGATCTCGTGGCGTAAGGCAAAATCATATTAAGAGGCCCTTAAATTTATTTTATAAAATTTATACACTAACAAGAAAAATTAATTTCTACACAATAGATTAATCATTTAAGACAAAGAAATATCCAATTTCACACAAAAAAAAAAAAAAAGGAAGATGAGAACGAAAAATAAAAGTGATAGATCATCGATGTTAAGCTTCAAAACTCAAATTGAAATTTTAATTTGGCTATCATCACAAATAAGAAAAAGAAAAGAACATACATAACTTAATAGCTGAAGTTTTGAGCATGGATAGTAACAAAAATATCCAAATTTCTGATCAATTTAAATGATATATTTAGGTGTGGCGCTCCCAATAAAAAAAATTTCATACCCAGGGCTCGAACCCGAGACCTCTGGTTAAAGGTAAAACACTCCCACTAGTGCACCACAACCCATATTGGTATAATACATTCCATTAAGTAGCACTCATAGGTGAATATCTAAAACAAATTATAATTTTTTTATATAATATATTAAATTAAAACGAAAAGGAAACTTGTGCATGAATATTTTTGTGTTCACGCAGTTTAAGAAAAGATTGAAAAAAATTCATTATGTTATCGATATATGTAACCTAGTTCCTATATAAAAAATAAAAAAATTTAAAATTGAAAGTTAAAACAAATATATCAAATAATGAGTGAAAAGATTATGAGAATTTATGAACTTATTGATAAAAAAATACTCTCAAATAAATAATAATAAAATATATACAATAACAATTTTATTTATATAAATTATATTCATATATAATAAAATTAATAATAATAATTTAAACAAATTTGGGGCCTTCATAGGTAGTCTAGATTGCATGCACTGGAAATGGAAAAATTGTCCAACGGCATGGGCTGGGCAATACGCAGGTTGTAGTAGATCACCAACGATTATTCTTGAACCTGTTGCTGATTATGACCTTTGGATATGGCATGCTTATTTTGGTTTGCCTGGCACCAATAACGATATTAATGTTTTAGAGTCATCACATTTATTTTCCAATCTTGCTAGCGGTATTGCGCCTCCCGCCCATTATGTTATTCAAGGAAAATAATACGATATGGGTTATTACTTAGCTGATGGTATATATCCTAAATGGTCTACAATTATTCAAACAGAAATATTTCGCGATAAAACAAGAACCGTGCCGAAAAGATGTTGAACGTGCATTCGGAGTTTTGCAATTATTGCAGGACCATTACGCTTTTGGAGAAACGAAATGGTACATGATATAATGACTACATGTATTATACTGCACAACATGATAATTGAGGATGAACGTGAT